GGACATAGGCTTTCAACCAGATTGTAGCGTCTCGGCTCGGTTCATTCGAGTTAACGGACTGGACCGGGAAGGGATGTTACACGAATAATCTCCATTTCGAGAATTCGCCTTGCCGATCCAAATCCTTCAATGTTCATGCTTTTGACAAAAATCACTCTTGAACTTGGCTAATCATGTTGTGCATCTGGTCCAACGAATTAGCATTCATCAAACATATAAGAGAAGGATGATAATTTACCATCAGGGAATTTCCTGAACATATACACAAAGGATCTCTGCAATCCTGTCCTTTTATTATCCTTGATTCAACCATGAAAGATTCAAAACTTTTTTATACACTGTCATGGTGCCTTGTTTTCAACCCGTACAAGGCTCTTCTTCAAGCGACAAACCATGTTCCTCGTTTCCCTGGAACCTTGAAACCTTCTGGGTTGTTCCAATATGATTTTCTTGCCTCTAGGATCCATGCAAAGAATGCTGTCTTTACATCAAGCTGCTCTAACCTCAAGATTAAATTGGCTACAAGACCTAGTACAATCTACGAATCGAACTCATTTTCACAACTTGTGAAAAAATCTCATCAAAGTCAATACCTTTCTTTGGAGTAAAAGCCCTTTGACGACCCAATCGGCTTTTTGTATCTCACTAAGTTGCATCATCCTTTCTTCAGTTTGTACAGCCACATTGTTCTTGAGTGTCTCTTACCCTTTTGGAACGTTTTTTCACGCAGTCATACGTGTCCATTCTTTTTTTCAAAGGAATTCATCTTTCTTGCCAATGGCTTTGGTCCAACATCTCTAATCTTTGCAAGATTTGCACATTTGGAGGCCTACTCTGGCTCCCTTCTCATCAGTAATTCAAAATGTAATGCAGAACTGGGTACCTTAATAAGATGGTTGGCGGCTCTCCTGATTGACCTTCTCAATGAAGTTCAACTCCTTTTGGTTGTAAATGGGGTTCTCTTGGCTCCCCCTGTCAACACCCTCTGCATCACCTGTTATCAATCTACAATTGTCTCTTGAATCCCTACGCTGGGCTCTTTTCTTCTTCTTGTTTGTTCTGATTCCAGCATCTCCCTCCTCCTGTGGCAATCATCTGTAGGAATTCTTCCTGGTGTTCAATGTCAAATAACATCATCACTTGGTGGATTATTACAAGTTGTATCTACCACGAACTCATTCTCGGGAATACTACGTCCTCAGCTCCAGACAACTTTCTTTTTCACATAAGTCCCACAACCTATAGCCAAATCCTTCGTCTCCATAAACCACAAAAGTGCAAGGAACGACTTGTCATTAAAGTTTTGAATCTCTGCTCCTTTCGGAAACATGCATGAATGCTTGTAGCCAAATCGCTCAGATGAAGAGTATGAAATATTTTCTACTTGTCCAGACTTCCTCCGGGAATATCAAAATCCAATGGTGCTAAGGTAGTCGGTTGATTAGGTAGACAGCAGTATTGACAAGCTTTTCCCTAAAATGGTTTATGTAAGTTTGGCCATCTTGAGCATGGACCTGACTCTTTCAATAATGGTGCGATTCATCCGTTAAGTAACGCTGTTGTGTTGAAGCGTAACCAGGAACTGTCTTTTCATGGCCTAAATACCGTGCTGAACTACAAATAATCTCTAAACTCCTTAGAGATTAATAACTCCACCACCATTAATCCGTGCGCAAACACTTCAATGCTATTCCAGTCTCCTTTCCACCATTGCATGGAATTGGTTGAATAGTGCTTGAATACTTGGTCTTTTGTGCGCAACAAAATATCCATGTCTTCCCGTGAGAAATCATCAATGAGGGTGAAGAAAATACCTCTTCTTCCAAAGTGATTCCCTAAGCTCATGGGACCACAATACGTCAGAAATGTAACCAATCCAACTTGTTGTCTCCCCTTCTAGAGCTTTTCAAAAATGAGACCCGATAATTGCTTCCCAAACAAACAATAATAATAGGGTTTTAATTTTACCTTTGGCCTAATGGTATGAAGGGACTTCTTTAGCCAACATATTCAACCCTTTCCTCAACTAAATGTGTGGCCCAGTGCCTATGCCCACAATATTTGGTGTAAGCATCATCTTGTAACTGTATTTAGTTGTCCCGCAAACATATTATTAGCGATGCGGCTTATATATGGCGAGCAAATCAACAATTTCCTCTCGCACCGACCAAAGACCCTTGTGAGTTTCCAATTGCCGCCATCTGTATGATGGTGATAGCCTTCCCTTGTCCAGTACGCCTACAGATAATAGGTTCAAGAAGATCGGCGGATAGTCTCACAATTTTAAGTGTTTAAATGTGCCCCGACCTTGTCCTTTAATGCAAGATATCATCGATCCCACCACTTCGAGACACTATTAATTTCCCATTTAATAGTGCCAAAGTCACCTGCTTTATAAGTGGAATAATATCCTTTTTTGGAACACAGTGGTATGAAGCACCGAGAGTCCTAATTATCCACTCGGTATTCTGCAACTCAATATGACAACAAATCTGCCATCAATGAGTGACTTAAAAGTCCACCTCACCATCTTCTTCCTGAAGACTGTAGCAGGTGTATTTTCTGTCATTCTCCTGTCTTCGGTCTGCATTATCCTGTTTGAGTAAACGACAATTTTCTTTTGAAGATGACCCTCCTTACGCAAATGGTAACATTTTCTCATCTCTCTGGACTTGGATCTACACCTAACTTTACATGTCTTGGACCTCTACTCTTGCTTCCGACCCCTATTGCTTGTGACAAGGGGCTTTGTTGAACTGGTACTGGCAACAATCTCTTCTTCGTGTTCTCAATTAAGTAATCTTTTATTCTTTACCCATAGACATCGTTACCAAACCATTTTGGACTGAGTTACTCAAATGAATAACACAAGAGTATCCCAGCTATCGCTAGAGATCCAACAGTAGGCCTTTTGTATCTCGTCTTCTACTAAAGGGCAATACTGCTACTGCTAAATTCATTACGAGTCCTTCAAAATCGTTTCCCAAAAAGGTGTTTGTAATTTGATCGTCCCTCTGACAGCATTCAAGTTCATGACCTTTACGCAATGCATGAAGACTTTTTCCTTGAGCATTCGTAGCCTCATACATATTCTGTATTTTCTTCGCAGAGAACTTGGAAGATTTTTTTCACCATTTCTCACATGATTGTATATGGCTAGCAATTCTATCCATTAGCGTATTGTACCCATGTTTGCGTTTTTTAATTTCTCCCACTGCCTTTCTTTGCATTTCTTCCGGCTTTTGGACAATGTCACCTCAATTGGATCGAACAGATCTTTGCAATTTGAGGGTAGTCCTCACATTCTGATTTTCCCACATTGAATAATTCGAATCGCGTCGTTAGCCATGTCGAATTTTGAATCTGACAAAATTTTACTATTCACGAAATTCACTATTCATATGAATAGTAACTTTGTAGAAAACTGACAGAATTTGCCAACCAAAGGCTCTGATACCAGTTGTTGAGATTCTAACTGATCCCGAATGGGACCTCTAATAATTAGGTATTGGATATTGACGATCGAATCCACCAGAAATAATAACCATGGTAAAAAATTAAATAATTACCATAAATGCCAGATAAAAATAAGAACACCGAGATTTACGTGGTTTACCCTTCAACTGTTATGGGCTACGAATGCCTAGATAAAAAATAAGAACACCGAGATTTACGTGGGTTCACCCTTCAACTGTTACGGGCTACGTCCCATATAGGACAAAAATCCGATAATTCCTTCTACTAATAGTAAGGTTACAAAAGAGATTACAAATAATAAGTGGATACTCCTATAGTGTTTTACAACAATACTTCCAATTTCCAAATCCTCACTAAGAACACCGAGATTTACGTGGTTCACCCTTCAACTGTTACGGGCTACGTCCATGGGACAAAAACTCCGAATAATTCTTCTACTAAAAATAGTAGGTACAAAAGAGATTACAAAAATAGTGATACTCTAAGTGTTTAACAACAAATACTCCAAAATTTCAATCCTCACTATTTTCTCTCTTTTCCAATTTTAGGAACCTTTTCCTAAAATTTTATACACTCTATGTATTTCTATGCTTTTGTTTTTGTACATTATGAAGTGAAAATCCTTCTCCTATATAGGAGAAGGGGACACGTAATTAACGCGTCCACCGAATGAATGCGTTAATCACGCGTCCAAACTTTCAATAAATTTTTTCTTTCTTTCTTTCTTTGTTAGGCAGTCTCTCTTTGACTGTCAAAATAAAAACGTGTTGTTATTATTATTATTATTTTTTTCAAATGTCTATGATCTCACATATTGGAGGGACCCACAACACAATATGCTATATATATATTAATAATAGATAAATAACTAAATAATAGGTAAAAGGCAGGTTTCCTTTTTCTTGTGTGTGTTTATAACTGATCCACGAGGCCATGAAACTATTAGTTGAGCACGTGCACTGTGAGTCCAACCGGTCCCAACTTCGTTGAACCAAAATCCATTTAATTAAATTATTTATTTATTTTTATATCGCATGTGAATTTTCAACCTTTTCAAAAAGTAATTTTTTAAATTATATTTATTTCCGTAAGAAAACTGATTTCAATTTTCAGTCATTGATTTGATGCAATTGGTGTGATGTGTTTTAAATTACAGCGATTATAGATTAAAAATTACAATATAAAAACCGACTATTAAAATCCTAATTAATATCCGTACGCATTAAATGTGCAATATTTACCTACATTGCATTTTTATTGAAAATAAATTAAAATAAAATAATAATGTATCGTTATGATTAATTTTATATATAACGATTAATTAGTTTAGTGTATATATCATCAGATCTCACAAGTACATGTAAAAGTTATGTTTGGTATATGAATCCACCTATACACCAGATTAATTATAAATAATAATTTGATTTAAATGTATAAATTTCTAACCATAAAAAAAAACTAATATTTTTAAAATAACTTTTTTTACTGGCTTAATTTATGGGACCAAGCATACGCCCGGCGTAGGGGAATTTTCAGGTGTGGCACATTTGTAGAAGCGATGGGCCAATCAAATTCCATAAATTGGCTTAGCCGCTCATATTACTAGTAGTCTCTCTGCCTTCAAGTCCTTTCTTCTTCTTCTTCTTCTTCTTCTTCTTAATGAGTCTATGAGTAGTGTCGTTTGAAGAAGTCACATTCGTATATCCTCTCTCCCTCTCTCTTTCTAGCTACTAGCTAAGAGGAGGAAGAACGAGAAGAAGAAGAAGAGTTTAGTTATAATGTCAAGAATGAGAGTTGCAGTGATTGGAGGCGGGATTAGTGGGCTTATTTCAGCTTATTATGTCGTGTCAAACTCCGGAGCTGAGGTTGTTCTGTACGAGAAAGAGGATTACTTGGGCGGCCATGCTCGAACTGTTTCCTTTGACGGTGTTGATTTAGATCTCGGTTTCATGGTCTTCAATCGTGTACGTGTTTACTCTTTTCTCCTCTTCTTTCATCGTCTTCCTCTTTTCTCTTTTTCCTTTTTCTTTTTCTATAAAAACAACATTAACAATCATGTCGGAAATTAAGGGGTATTTAACATGGAAGTAAAAATTAATAACCAAAATAAAAATTTTAATAAGAAAATGTTTACTGTCCCAATCATTTAAACAGTGATAAAATTACAGTTTTAAGAAAATTCAGTTTGTTTTCGCAAAATAAGCTGTAAGAAAATATTTTCTACAACTCAACTTTTTTTTTTCTTATTTAGGGCGCTAATAAGTCGATGGAAAATTTTTTTTCTAATAAAAAAAATATATTTTTTAAGAAAAATAAAAGTAAAATATTTTTCGAATATCGATAAATTTTATAAATTTATATTTTTTAATTTATTAATTATCATATTTATTTCTCTGTTGAAATATGAGAAAAAAATGGTACTAAATATATAATTTTTTGATATATTAAAAATCTAGAATATTGCGGTTCATTTGGCCTCCTAATAGACATACCTAATGATTCCCTGATTAAGAATTGTATTATCTTAAACAAGATGCTTTCATCATTTTTAAATTTTTTTTAATTTATTTTGTTGTTTACTTATTATGATTAGTTCAAACACTTCCATAATTTGTTTATTGTTTAACGAGGATGGAATCAGACTCTGAAGAAGAGAAGGTTGTATATTATTTTTTTCAAATAATACAATTTGATTGTTTTAATTATTAGAAAGTCGGACATGTTCGCTTTACCTTTTAAATTAAATAAGAATAAAAATATATATTGAAATTAATTTATTTTTTAGATAATTAAAAAATTTTATAGGATTAGAATAAGAATAATACTTATATATAAGCCAAAAGATTTTGCTGGCGTGAAGGTGAAAGATTGCAAGTTGAATAATTGATGCACTGCCATTATAAAAGGAGTGCGCATAGGAACAGAACGTAGCTGGATTGTTTTGTCATTTTGCATGGTGGAACAAACTAGAATTAGCTTGGTTGGATATGATTGTTGCGTGGTTGGTTCATAGTCACACGTCTGGTCAATATAAACTATGTAATTTCTCAATTTTTCTTGCAAATTATGAAATAAATAAAAAAACTAAAAAAAGTTATTTCAGTGAATAATTTTTTAAATTATGATTATCTATGGGAAAGTTTATACACTCAACCTACACAATCGGCAACCAACCTCTAATGTTTCAGTTATAATAAAAATATCAAAATTGAAAAATTAAAACTTCAGACATGGTAAAAATATAATTAACCTAAGTTAAAAGATTAAAGGGTAATAAATTGGAAAATGGGGCCCATATCTAGTAAGATGAAGTCAAAGATCCACTTTTTGGCCATTTCAGCTGAATACAACTTTGTTCAAATGCGGTCACGTCTTTATATATAACGGTGGAAGTAGAAGTCAATAGAAAGTTAAACAAAAATTAAATCAAAAGTACAAAAAAAGCTTGCTATGTATTTTAAAAAGAACTAGTAAATGTATTATCTTGTCAAAAGTATAATCGGAAATATTTTAGTTCATAAGAAATTGGTGTTAAATAGCTTTATAGTTAGAACACAATCTGATTGATAATGAGCCCTTCAATAATACCCAAAATGATCTTAAGTGTCTCTTTCTATAAGGCAAATTCAAGTTTTGATCAATTTTAAGTCCATTGTTTATGAACAAATTCACAAACTTTTGGATGGAATGTGCAAATTACAAAGTAATATTTTGGATTTTGAATTGGCCTTCACAGGTAACATATCCAAATATGATGGAGTTGTTTGAGAGTCTTGGAGTGGATATGGAGTTATCAGATATGTCCTTTTCAGTTAGTTTAGACAAAGGTAATGGCTATGAATGGGGTAGCAGAAATGGCCTCTCAGGTGTTTTTGCACAGAAAAAGAACATTCTTAATCCATACTTTTGGCAAATGCTTCGAGAAATTATCAAGTTTAAGGATGATGTCCTCAGGTCAACCCACTTTCTTTTTTCACTTAAATGATAACATTAAACCAATATTTTCAGCATAGTGAGCTATGTTTTACATAATATTATCAAATGTATTTACAAGTATTTCATTTTATACAGTTACCTTGGAACGCTTGAGAAGAATCCTGATATTGATAGGAGTGAAACATTAGGGCATTTTATCAATTCCAGGGGTTACTCTGAGTTATTTCAGAAGGGTTATCTTGTAAGATCTTTGATGCTTTGTGTTTATTCTTCATTCTTGGAGATTTTGATTCATTTCTATTTTCAATTCTAAATGTTACTCAAAATGCAGTGACACAATCTTGTGTTTGTATATATAGGTTCCAATGTGTGGTTCAATATGGTCCTGCCCTTCAGATAAAGTTATGAGCTTTTCAGCTTTCTCTATACTCTCATTTTGCCGTAATCATCATTTACTTCAGCTCTTTGGCCGCCCACAGTGGCTTACTGTTAAAAGCCGTTCACAGTCTTATGTCAACAAGGTGCTTGTTTAATTGCTTTGGAGAGTTGGAATGTTTCGAATTTCATTTTTTCTACGACAATTTTTATAAGATTTCGGCTAATATTTAAATGCTTGCCAAACAAATAAATCAGGTCAAAGAAAAGCTGGAAACTTGGGGCTGTCGAATAAGAACTGGCTGTGAAGTGGCCTCTGTTTCCACTAATGATGAGGGTAAGCAGCAACACTAATGTTTATGGTTTGTTTTTGCTAAATTTTATATTTTTGAACTCAACCATTAAGAATAATTATCTATTCTAATATCTGACTCTTTTACCATTGTAACTATAGTAATGAATATGAAGAGTATTCTTTTTAGCAGGTTGCACAGTTTTCTGTACAGATGGTTCTGAAGATATGTATAGTGGGTGCATAATGGCTGTTCATGCTCCAGATGCACTGAAAATATTAGGAGAGCAAGCAACATTTGAAGAAAAAAGAGTGCTTGGTGCTTTTCAGTATATGTATAGGTACCAGCTTTCATTACTGATCATTGTTTGGGTATATCTGACGTCTTAGTAGGAATACACATAACTGAGACATAATTCCTATAAATTATTTATTTATATATGCATTAAAAAGCACTTAAAAGTTATTTATAAAACGTGAGAAGCAACATGAAATGCTAAACTGATGCAGCCAGCTGGCTAGATTTGATTTATATTGCGTAGAGTTGAATACTTGCTGTTGCCAAATGGTTTTGTGCTAAAAATTATAAATGCAAATAGGAGATGCATAAAAACGTATGATTATTTAATGGCTCCATTTTCCCCTTTACAAAAACAATTAGTTGAAGCTGATTCCATCATAATTCTGATAGTTCATTTGCTAAAATGTGCAATCACTCTTTTAACTTTTGATTGCAGCCATATCTTCCTTCACCGTGATAGAAAATTTATGCCTCAAAATCAAGCAGCATGGAGTGCATGGAATTTCCTTGGAAGTACAGAAAATAAAGTATGTTTGACATACTGGCTAAATGTGCTTCAGGTTTGTAAAATATTCTCTGGATCTTTATTTTCAATGGAATGTGGAATTCTGTTGTAATTAAGGTTTGACATAAGCACTTTTGATTATGTTGTTTAAATGCGTTTATACTCTTGCAGAATCTTGGTGAAACAGGTCCACCTTTCCTGGTGACACTGAATCCAGATAATATACCAGACCATACCTTGCTGAAGTGGTCAACTGGCCATCCAGTCCCATCTGTAGCCGCATCAAAAGCTTCACTTGAGCTTCAACATATTCAAGGCAGAAGGGGACTTTGGTTTTGTGGAGCCTATCAGGGTATGTTATTTTGGTTATATAAAAGAAATGGCACCTATGTAAGCCTCAATTCCTCCATCAAGCTTTGTTTAGAATGCTGAATTAGCTTTGTGATTATTCAATGTAATACATGTTAATATTTCCTTTTTCAGGTTATGGTTTCCATGAGGATGGATTAAAGGTACTAACCAATATTAAGTACAGATATGTTTGATAATGTACTTGCTCTTGTTAAGAACAATCCTTAAGAAAACATGAAACAAATTCTCAAACAAAAAAAAAAAAAGGTGCTAGCATTTTTATTCTGTTCTGTTTCGCAAATGGTGTTTTCTGCACTCGGAAAAAATTAAAACAAAGTGAACAACAGCCTTCTTGATTCCACTTCTCTAGTGTTTATTTTCTTTTGCAGTCTGGCATGGTTGCCGCAAATGGTTTGCTTGGTAAAAGTTGCACTATTCTGTGCAATCCAAAACACATGGTACCTTCTCTGTTAGAAACTGGGGCGCGCCTTTTTGTTACTAGATTTCTTGGACATTATATCTCTACTGGCTGTTTAATGTGAGTTCATGTATACAGATAATCACAGCCTTTATCATATGATTTTGATACTCGTTGCTTGCGTATGATGCATTGATACACAATACATAACACGCAACTCATACATTCTCCCACTTTCATAAGCTTTTTATATGCTTGTTTTTTATGAATTCCAGTTTTTATTATACATTTTCAACTTGATTCATGCTCTCTTTTTCCTTTTTGTTTTTCTTGCCTTGCTACTGAAATAGATTTAACAGTATATGCAGGAATTGACGAATTTAAATTGTCTTATGACAGTTTACTTGAGGAAGGTGGCACAATGTTTACCTTTGAGGGAAGTGCTAAAAAGTGTGACTTGAAAACTGTCCTGAAAGTTCACAATCCCCGGCTCTATTGGAAGGTTTTTGTTTTGTATTGGGATCAATGACGAGGAAATTTTCAAAATTAAAAAATAAGTTAAAGGGCATTGCAAATGCTTAACGGTTTTTTTTTTTCCAGATAACAACACAGGCTGATTTAGGTCTTGCAGATGCATATATCAATGGTGACTTTTCCTTTGTTAACAAAGATGAAGGTCTTCTAAACCTTATTATGGTGAGATAATTTATACGATTCCTATACCATATTCTCCATTCCTTAATCAAATTTTAATGAACTTTCTTTTATATTACAGGTTCTGATCGTGAATAGAGATGCTAATAAGACTGTAGCAAGATTGAATAAGAAAAAGTATGCTGTTATATCTGACTCTCAGAACATGATACTGCTGGCTGACATTTCCTAACTCTTATTTTATCAAGAAGTCTTTTTCTGTTCACCTCAGGGGTTGGTGGACACCTTTGCTTTTCACAGCTAGTATTGCATCTGCACAATTTTTTGTCCACCATGTTTCAAGGCAAAATACTCTTACACAAGCTCGCAGGAATATTTCTCGCCATTACGATCTGGTAAGTTTGTCAATTTCTTGATGCCTTCAGAAATGTCTAAAAGCTACATCATGAACTCCTGAATGAAATTTATTTTGGTTCATGTTACTAGAGTAATGAGCTTTTTGGTCTGTTCTTGGACGAAACTATGACATACTCCTGTGCGGTATTTAAGGTTGGAAATCTAACCTACTGATCTATTTCGCTGTTCAAGAAAGAAATGATTGCATCAATCATGTGCTATAACTTTGAGATATGATATATTTCTGTGGATCTAACTACTTTAAAGACAGAAGATGAAGACTTGAAAGCTGCACAGATGAGAAAAATTTCACTCCTGATAGAAAAAGTGAGTGTTCCTTAACCATTTGGGAGATTATAAGATTTTTCTGATACTCATTATTCATTTTGAATGTTTTTATTTTAACCAAACCAGGCAAGAATCACTAAGGAGCATGAAATACTTGAAATTGGTTGTGGTTGGGGAGCCTTAGCTATTGAAGTTGTCAAACGAACCGGATGTAGATATACTGGAATCACTCTATCGGAGGAGCAACTCAAATTTGCAGAGATGAAAGTGAAGGAAGCTGGCCTTCAGGTATTGACCTAAACAATATTTGCAACTTTCATTTCTCTTAAAGCTTTCCTAATTAGTATTTATTTTCATATACCAGGACAGTATCAGATTTCTACTCTGTGATTATCGGCAATTGCCTAAGAACTACAGATATGACAGAATCATATCATGGTGAGGTCCTTCTTCCATTCCAAAATTCCAAATCTGACTGTAGAATACCAAATAAATAGCATAAGTTTCAATGGCCTTTTTCAGTGAAATGATAGAAGCTGTTGGCCATGAATACATGGAGGAGTTCTTCGGTTGTTGTGAATCAGTATTGGCAGAAGATGGGCTTATTGTTCTACAGGTAATGAGTCTAATGCCAAATGGGAAAAATGGAATATTCATTTTGTCCTCGTTTAATTTCAGTCAGTATCATAGATGAAGAGTTGAATTTAATGATTGAAAAAAAAGGTGCCTCCTTTTCTCTTTTCTTCGTCTTTTCTTCTTTTCAGTTCATATCAATACCAGAAGAACGTTATGAAGAGTACAGGCAAAGTTCAGACTTCATTAAGGAATATATATTTCCTGGTGGATGTTTGCCATCATTAACAAGAATAGCATCAGCAATGTCTGCTGCATCAAGACTCTGGTATAACTTATAAGCCATCACTGTTAGCTCATTTTTAGTTTTATATGTTGTTTGTTCTAATTCATTTTCTGCATAATTAACTCTATTTTTTTCCATTCAAAGTATGGAGCATGTGGAAAATATAGGAATTCATTACTATCAAACACTGAGATATTGGAGAAAAAATTTCTTGGACAACCAGGGGTAAAAATCATTCCTTTTTTTGATTTGGAATTGACTGTAACGTAGAGGCAGCAACCATATTTTTTTTTCCTTCTCAGAAAAATTCTGGCTTTGGGATTCAATGAAAAATTCATTAGAACATGGGAATATTATTTTGATTACTGTGCAGCTGGTTTCAAAACACATACACTTGGAAATTATCAGGTATTTGTAGTCCTGTATTGTTTTTTCTGTTGAACGAGTTGCTCAGAATACATGTATATATTGAACTGCTAATCATTTTTTATTTCTTGACCAAGGTTGTTCTATCACGTCCTGGCAATATAGCTGCACTTGGCAATCCTTTCCAAGGTTTTCCTTCAGCTTACTGATTCTTTTTTCTTTTATCTCATAATTTGTTAATCATTTAATTGTACCAGCTCTAAATGGAAATTATTTCTTCCGATTAATTTCATTCGGAAATCTTGCCGTTTGGGTTTTTACAGTTTACTCGTTCCACTCTATTTCATATGCCACTTTTTATCGATTGTCTTCGAACGACAAGACATTGAGTCGTTTAAAAGGCTTCGATTTTGTAGACTTTATGGATCTCCCTCAACATTTAAATTCATGTAAAAATGGCATATTGATATTATTTTCTCATCAGAAATTCATCTTCACCTTTTAAAAAAAATGATTTTATAGTGAGAGATCTAGATTGTATCTGTAATTTTTTATTTTCAAAATTAATTTCATTAGTGATTTTAATCTAAATTTAGATTATATTTGCAAACTGGTTTGGTCACATATTTTCTCGTCTGAATGTTTCTATCACGTCTCTTTTTGCAAATCATTTGAAGAATGATCCTCTAAACTTAATCATAAATATATATCTCCAAAATAAGAATGATCCTCTTAGCACTGCTCAGAGCTTGACGAACCTGCAAACTATCCATTTTCACAACTATTTGATCATGCGCATGGCGGTGCTTCAATCAACTTAGTAGCTTCCCAATACCCATCACTTCCGCCATTAAAGGGCTTGCAATTTGACCATCCTTCCACCACCAACCATAGCTACGTAACTGTCTATCACAATCCAGCCCCATCACTTTCGCCATTAAAGGGCTTGCAACTTGACCATGAATGATCCTCTAAACTTAAATCATAAATATATATCGTCCCAATAAGAATTGATCCTCTTAAGCCACTGCTCAGAGCCTTGAAACGAACCTGCAAACTAACCATTTCCACAACTAATTTGAATCATGCGCCATGGCGGTGCTTCAATCAAATTGACCATCCTTCCACCACCAACCATAGCTACGTAACTGTCTATCACAATCCAGCCCCATCACTTTCGCCATTAAAGGGCTTGCAACTTGACCATCCTTCCACCACCAACCATAGCTACGTAACTGTCTATCACAATCCAGCCCCATCACTTTCGCCATTAAAGGGCTTGCAACTTGACCATCCTTCCACCACCAACCATAGCTGCCCAACCGTCTATCACAATCCAGCCTTGACCATTTAAGCTAAAGCTTCATTGGCAGACTCTTAATTAATTTAATTAAAAAAAGGACCGATTGATCTTAAAAAGTAAAGAAAGGAGCAAACTTTTTGGGGTGATTGGAATACCAAGTAAAGAAAGTTCGGTTTCTTTCACGTCTCTTTATGCATACCATTTGAAGGAATCTTTTGGCAAATTCTCTTGGACATTCTTGTATACATAATCCTCGTTTTGAGAAATTGTTCCAAATAACAATTAAATTCATAATCCTCCACTTTTCTTTTTTTCTTCTCGCTTTTGATTTTTTATTCGTTTTTAAAAAATTTATATCTATTTTCTTCTAATATATCTATTTTTCTTTATTTTTTTGTTATTATTACTTTATCTTCACATTTGAAATTCTTTTGTCCCTTTTTCCATAAGGGTTTAATTCATTGATTATGAATTGTTAAAAGGTATGATATTTGGTTTGGTTGGAGAATTTAGATCTTGTTTTACTGATGTGTATCTTCGATCAATGGAGTATGATAAAGTGGTCTGTCCCTCCATTGACGCTATTAATGCATAGTGACATAAATTCATCCGTATACGTCATATATAATAAGTTTTTGAAAAAGCAATCAAAGCATAGAAGATCCAAAGAAGTTATTTTATCATCCAAATCAATTAAAGGACTAATTGCTATTACGAAGATTTATATCGGTTAAGGTTATCTTCAAAAAAATTCAATATTATTTCTTTTAATTTTAACTTTATTATTCAAAAAAATATAGATAAAGAGAATTTTTATTAATTATAATGGCAAATTCTTGTGTTGTAATTGAGTATTTGTAATTCTTGATTTTATAATTAATAAATTATATTTCTAAAAAAAATTAAATTCTTAATCCCATATATACTAGTTGGGATTGTTGACCATATTGTTTTTGACCATATACATATTATCTTATATATATATATATATAATATATATATATATATAATATTATATAATATAATATAAGATATAATATATATATGTCATTAATTGTCATTAAATCTAACAAAATGCACTTATAATCACCTAATTATATATGTATATTTTTTATTTCTACGAGTATTCTCACACCTGTGTTTGTCTTTTCATTAAGAATGAAAAAAGACAAAATAGGACGATTTTCATGATCGAAATGTTTAAAACAATTATTTATATAGGAGTTGCTATAATAAAAATATTTACAACATTGTTAGTGTGGCAAAGACATTTGTTTTCCAATTGTAGCAAAGCAAATAAAATATGATTCATTTTTTTTTTAAAAAAAAATGAATCATAAAAAAAAGGAAAAATTTCAGAAACAATTGCTGTTTTCATGAGTACCACAAATAATAATAATAATAATAATAATAATAATAATAATAAAAGAGAGAATTAATATTGATCTTTATTGAAAATCAATATAGTATTTATTGGGGCAGAATTAATTTATAAAATATATTGATGAAGAGGAAGCTGGCTGGAATAGACAATTAAATGCAAATGAATACAAAAGATGAAGTAGCAATTAATATTTGATGAAGAGGAAGCTAGCTGGAATAGACAATTAAATGCAAATGATGCAAATGAAGACAAAAGATGAAGTAGCAGTTAATATTTTTACAAATGACCTCAATGTGATGAAAATAGATGCAAATAATTTATTAATTGCCATGAAAAAATTAAAATTGTAATTTTACTGATGTATGTTACAAATATAGAGTGATAATTACAATTTAATCCTTTCTTCATAAAAGTCATTCTCAATTGAGTTCAAACTTCTAACAACTTCCTTCTCTTATAGAAAGTCCCACTTCGACTCGGCCACTTAGTGTTGTGGGCGACGAAGTTTGGTTTCTTACTTAATGAAATAAAGCATATTTTCCATTTCCCTTTCTTACCAAAAGAAAACGCATATTTTCCATTTCTACTTGCAGCATTACAATATGAAACTTTCTCTGTTAGAAGGTGCAAGCCGCGGTTTTGTTGCTAACTTTCTTCAGAACTATATCTCTACTGGGTGTTTAAGGTGAGTAATCTTGTCAATATATGTATTTCATAATGATGAGTAATCTTGTCAACATATTCAACATATACTTATTTTCCAATCACTTGCAGTTTATTGGAAGCAGAAGGCACCGATCTTACTTTTCAAGGAACTGATACTAAGAAATGTTCTCTCAAAGTTGTTCTGGAAATTCACAATCCCCAGTTTTACTGGAAGGTATATAAAGAGAGAGAGAGAAAGAGAGATAATGTTGTTGAGATTTTTAGGGAAGGAAGAATGAAAATGCACAAGATGATTAATAATGTTTTGCACTTCATTAAATTAATAAAAGAATATGCCTATTTATAGACTTACAAGTGAATCAAATAAGATCTAAAAATACTCCTAAAAATATAAGATCTAAATACTCCTAAAAATCATTATTCCTGAATAACAAAAATGATTAAATTCAATGCAGAAAATCTACACTATAAAAATTAAAAATCCTTCAAAATATTTTTTAAATATTAGTTTGAATTAATCCTAAACATTCTCTTTAAATTCAAACATAATATTTTTATTACAATAATTAACAATTAAAAAATTTTTTAAAAATTCTAGCAATTTGAAACACCTCCTCTTCAATTAATTGTTGTTTGAAGCAACCTCTCTCTAAACTCATCATTTTGATGTACTTCCTCACTAAATATTGATGCAACTTCTTCATCAACTAGCAAAATGAAATTTTTAATTGTTTCCTTTTTTTTTTTTTTTTTAAGCACTTCATCTTCAAATAATTGATGCACCTCTTCATCACTTTCTTATTTTGGAGCACATCTCTTCCAATGTTTCTTAAAGGCACTTCTCTGCAAATATTCTCTTGGAGTACATCTCTCCGATACTTTCAAAAGAAAGAGTTCCTTCCTCTTGCACAAAATTTGTTGAGTTTTTATAGCTTGCAATCTTTTTTTGAATATGACCAAATTTCTACAAATTAAAAAATTGAGGTTTAAACCTTTATGCCAAACAATAATTTTCATCAATGATTACTTTCTTGCATATGCCACAATTTTCCTCTTTTTGATAAAAATTTGTTCGTTGACTTGGCACAAAAGCAGCCTCTATAGTATTATCTTCTCTAAATGCTCTCCGTTGCTCCACAACTTGTACTGCATTAGTTAGTTCATCAACGGAAATTTCAGAAAGATTTTTTGTGTCTTCAAGAGAAAAAATTTTGGATTCAAATTTTTCGGATAGACTTATTAGAATTTTTTCAACCACCCTTTCTTTCAGGAAATTCTTCACCAAGTAATCTAATTTTGTTAAAAATGGACATGAGATTGTTAACATATTCTTTGACACCTCCAAATGTTTTCATTTTTTGCATCTCAAATTCTTTTTTAAGATTCAAAACTTGCATCAATTTTGTCTGCTCGTTGCCTTGATACTCATTTTTTAATGAGTCTCATATCTCCTTTGCTGTTTCACAAGTCATAACAAAGTCAATAAAATTTTTAATTTTTGTGGGAAAAAAAAAATTATATCCTACAAACAGAAGAATGATAGCAGGTTTTTGCTTTTGAATTTTTTGCTTTTTCTTTTGCCTATATTCTTATATTCTGAACCCAATGGAATGGTCAATTGGAGGACTTTTTCTTTTTCTGTTTCAACATGCTCTCCAAAGTCATAAGCTTGTACAAAGCTTCATTTTACACGGCCCTATAGTCTGATAATTTTACCACAAAAAATGGAGGAAGAAAATGGAAATGGTGTTTTGGCCATTGTAACAGACAAGTTCTGTGACTACCATGTTTTGAGATTTTTAGTGAACTCAGGAAAGAATGGGAAATGCACAAATGATTAATAATGTTTTGCAACTCATTAAAATTACACACACACACATGTGCCCTATTTTATAGTCGTGCTTAACAAAGTGAATCAATTAGAGGACCTAAAAATACTCTCTAAAAATCCCATTTAATCTCCCTAATAATAAAAAAATATTCAAATCTAGCAGAAAATTGCACTAAATTAAAATTGAAATCTCAAAATATTTTAATTAATATTATTTTGAATTTAATCCTAACCAAATGATTATAGTCATTTTACCAAAAAAAAAAAAAAATATTTGCCAATTCACGTTTACTGCAAATTTTGACCCAGGGGTAATGACACGGTCCGACATAGGTCTTGCAGAAGCTTACATTGATGGAGATTTTTCATTTGTTGACACTGATGAAGGTCTTGTGAATTTTATCCTTGTAAGTTAATTAGAAATTTAGAATTCAGTTTTATTATCATAAACTGTATATTTGTTTTTTAAATACGTAGTTGGAAATTTCTTATCAATTTACTATGTCGCAGCTACTGATTGCCAATAAAGATTCAAATGCTAAGAAAAGGTAATAATACCTAGGGGCTGTGGATAGATGTTAGTAATTATCTCTTATGTATTAGTAATTATCCCTTAAGTTTATTTGTATTGTGATGTTCCTTTATTAGGGGTTGGTGGAAAGCATTGTTATTCACAAGGGGTTGGTGGAAAGCATTGTTATTCACAGCTGGTATTGCATCTATCAAATTGTTCTATCAACATGTTTTAAGGCAAAATACTCTTACACAGGCTCGCAGAAACATTTCTAGTCATTATGATGTGGTATGTGAATCTGATATGATCAATACTATCTCATTAATCCTGAAGTTGGGGACTTGATTGATTAATTATATACATTTCTTTTTGGGCATCTGTTCACAGAGCAATGAAGTTTTTGCACTGTTTTTGGGAGAAACAATGAATCACTCCACTGGAATATTTAAGGTAAAATTAAGAAATATTGGGACTATAAATTAGTCAGATTTTGTCTCTCATATAATCGTATTTTAGTTTCAAGTTGTAAACTCTGCTAATCCTGATTTATTTGTCAGACCAAAAGATGAAGACTGAGATATACCAGCACAGTATATGAGGAAAGAGATTTCTGTTCTGATCTTGAAAAAGCTTGAAGTTCAACCTATCTAAATATATCTTCATTAAAAATATACATATTGAATATTGATATTCAATTTACACCTTTATGTGAAAATCTAGGCTATAGAATATCACCTGAGCAGAATATGCGCATGAAGTTTCTTGTACCATTGTTGGATATGGGGGAACCATTTGCCATTGAACTTGTGGATACTTAAAGAACTGCGTGTAAGTTACCACTGCATCACCTTTATCTTGAGGCAAGCAACCTCAAATTTTGCAGAAACCCAAAGTGAAGGAAGCTTAGGCGCTTCAAGTATTGATAAATACATCTCTTCTCTCTTTCCCCCCTTTCTCCCCTGATTCGTTGATACTTACAGCCCAAAATTCCTTTCTAGACGGTATAATATCAGCGACTTCTACTGACTCGTGACTTATCGTCAGTGCCAAGACCTGATAAATTATGTACAGAATCATATCTATTGTTGAGTTTGCATTAGATTGAATGCCTCTATCTCCAACTATATATGGAAGAACACATCTACTTTAAGCTATCACTTATGATATTTTTCAGTGTAAATCAGTCTAAAATCATGTTGACATGAATTCTATGGCGCACGAATTCTTGGATGCGTAGGAATCAATGACAAAGTACAGAGGCTTGGTTGCGTAGAATCATCATTGACAGAAGAAGGCTTGTTTGTTCTACAGGTAATCATGATAATTAATAGTAATTTGAAAAGAGAAAAAAATAAATAATTATCATGGTTAAAGCAATAAATCCCAACTCTGAATTAAGGTTTATTATTGTTTCCTAGTTCATATCAATGGCAGACGAAAGTTATGATGATTATAGGCGAAGTTCGGGTTTTATTAAGGAGTATATATTCCCAGGTGGATGTTTGCCCTCATTAAGTTGGGTAGCATCCGCCATGAAAACTGCATCAAGACTTAGGTACAAGTCGATCTGTTGCTAGGAAACCAGCAAAATCTGTTATTCTCACGATGGCCACCCATAAAAGAAGAAAAGATTGTTTTTAGGTTTTTGAGAGAGAGGGAGGGACGGCTTGCAATTATTAAGATTCTTTTATTTGTTAGAGCATATTTTCTATAAAAGCTAAAATAATATTTTAATTATAAAATTCATATATAATAACAAAAAAAATAAAAATACAAAAATAGTAAATGAACTTTAAAAATTGAAAAATTACTAATAGAGAAATTAAAAGGTCATATAAATATTTCAATTATATTAAAAACAACAAAAAAAAAAGTACCATGTATACGAAAATTAAAATGAAGAAAAAAATTATTTAAAGTTGGGTATTCATTATAATTGATTTATTTTCTTAATTAGCAAAATTATGGCGATGGGATTTGATGAAAAATTCATCAGAACAAATTAGCAAAATTATGGCGATGGGATTTGATGAAAAATTCATCAGAACATGGGAATACTACTTTGACTATTGTGCTGCTGGATTCAAGGCTTATACAATTGGAGTTTATCAGGTGATTATTCATATTACAAGCATACACATTATTTATTTTTTTATTTGTTATTAGTTGTGGAATTGGTTTACACTATTGCATTTGCTTGCTGTTAATGTCAGGTTGTATTTTCACGTCCTTGTAATATCGGAGCATTAGGGCATCCATATAAAGGTTTTCCGTCGGCATATTCAGACCTGTCTTCCTGAGATCTGAGACAAACCAACCATGCTCCATATCTAGTCTAGTATTTAATAAGTATGATGCGTAGAGTTTCCTTTTGCTTTGCAACACTTTTCTTTGCTATTTGTGGAACCACCGTGACAAGGGAAACTTTTCCATCGCTTTCAAAGAACTGCTTCCTTGAATAAATTCCATGATATCCTTTAATTTCTTTTTCTGTTTCTTGTTTCTGTTTCTCAATATCACTATATTATAAATGCAGTAATAACGAAATTTGAACCCTAACACCTGAAGAAATTAACTTCATCGAAGGCATGCCGATGAAGTCGAAATACACTTAAAAAGCCTACCACACTCTACAACTTAATCATAAATATCTTCAAAGTAAACGTACTAATCCGCAGATGGGAACGTCATCTCTATTAAAAACTATATTTTAGCCTCTGCATCCACGCTAAGCCATACGAACACCATCAATAAATATCATAAGAAAATTCAAATGTTTACCTCTATTAGAAATGAGAAAATTCATAAACCAACCCTTATGGAGGCCTGGACTATTCCAACAGTTATGACTAGTATTGGATAATGCATCACAACAGAAAAGCCAAGACCATTTTGCCTTTACCAAGCCTGCTTTCCTATAAAATACTTTCCATAGAATAAATCAAAAGTTATTTGCTTCATCCAAAAATCTACCACGCTACTTCTATTGATAACTTTACCCTTCTAAGTAATTGAATGAATGTGATCACTCCCCACTGCATCAACACCATAGCCTAAAAGAATCAGGTACATCTCACACAGGAACAGCTAATACTCAAAGTACGTATCCACATGATGTTTGCCCAACCCAGCAAAATTTGATTTAGCCAACCAGATTACTGGAAATCCAAAGGTTGAGATTTAATAACTTTGATTGCCAAGAATCTGCAAACAAAATTCAACAGTGTTGACATCGCTAGCTGCAAAAATGGCCTTTCCCAAGGTTTAAACCCTCAATTTCAAATTGAACAAGTCCACTTCAAATTCCAGTCCACGCTGAACCAAACCCCACCCCGAAAACCAACCCCACTATGAAGCTCGGGCCATGAGTTGACACTTGAACTACAACCTTAGAAACTCGAGGCATCTCCTCCTGTAAGAACACAAGGGCAAATACAGGGGGAAAATATTATGCCATCCCTCAAAGTCTCAAACTACCTACTACGCTTATTGGCTACCACTACGATTATTGCTACCCATTTACTAAGTGATCAACTACGATTATCGCTACCCTTTACGAATTGATCAACCCAAGTGGCTCATAGCTCCACTGCTATCAGTGAAAAACCTGAAATTCATCTCTGCATGTCTATTTGTCATACTAAATCAAAGCATATGTATATTTACATTTCCTTATGCCTAATCAAAAAGGCCAAAAGTAAATGCTAGTAAGATGTCAACAGAATACTCAACTGCAGTCAAACCAAAACACAGTTCAAATGCACAATAGATTAAACACTATGATGGGAAAGAAGTGTTAGCAGAATACTCAACAGCATTCAAACCAAAGCACACTTTAAATGCACAATAGATTAAACACTACGATGAAAAAAGAAAGTATGAGGACACTAGCAGACAACTATAAGCACGCCAAACTTAAACTACACTCAATAAGCAAAAATACTAAAATAGAAGGGCATCTAGTATGCCTTGAACTACTTATTATAGACTAGCAAAATAGATATTGAAAACTATTGGGATTTAAGCAATCCAACCAGTCCCAAAGAGCACTGGCATGCAATTTGAGCCGCAATTTGAGCCACTGCCCCTGCTGCTGGGGATGAGAAATCTTCAAAGGACCTCATGAGAAAAGCAGGGGTACCAATTAAACAATGAAGAGGATCCAGCTGGCATCAATCTGTCCATGATCACTGTTGTTGGCCTTGTCGAGTCTGAGAACCACCATATCCCCCTCCGTAACCAACTTGCCCACCATGAGGTCCATTTGCCTGAGGAGTTCCATAGTTTCCAGAAGCTTGTGATGGTTCAGATCTCCATCCTGCATTTCCATATCCTGAATTTCCATTTGCATCGCCATAACCACTTCCCATGTAGCCACTGTAGCCACTGCCAGTCCCCTGTAGCTCTCCACCTGCACCAGCAGCATTGCCTGTTTGGGTAACCCCCAGAAACGCCCACCAACAGCAACCAATATAGCAGGATTCACATAAGATCCATCATTTCCACCATAATTACCATACCCATAACCTTGATTCCCGTACCCAGCAGTCCCACTAGGAGATTGACTAGCAGATGCTGTGTTTCCTTCTACTCGTCTGCTTCGACATTCTCGGGCGAAATGTCCTCTTTTGTTGCACTTATAGCAACAATCACTTTCTCGCCAATTATCTTTCCTTTGTCCTGGCCTTGCTCTCCCTTGCTCTCCCTTGCTGTGATGGTCTCCACTTTTGCTTTCTCCATCATTGTTGATTGCTCCTTTCTTTTCCACCATCTACTCTCGCAACGTTTCAAAATCCCCTCTTTTTAGTAAAGAGAGCTTTCTCATCATCCTTCAAAGCTATTCAAAGCAAAGCTACTTTAGACATTTTTTCGTCTAATGTCTCTTCATCGGACAAGATATTCTCTAACTCGTCTAAGGTTGGTTGTGTAGCCCAACCACGAGTAGCAGTCACAAGAACCTTAAATTCAGGTCTTAGACCATGGATGATGATCCTCCTCATCCTTGTCTCGTTAATCTCATTGTCTGGATCTAATTTCGAAATCTCCTCACATAAAGATTTTACTTTAGAAAAGTATTGACTTACAGTGAGGTTCTGTTGCGAGATTGAAAACAACTCATTTTCAAGCCGTTGCAATTTTGCTTCATTCTTCTTGGCGAAAGCAGACTTGAGAATGTCCCATGCTTCCTTTGGTGTTTTAGCCGACTTGATCCGTTGCATCTGCTCATCTTCTACTGCAACTGTCAGCACATACATCGACTTCCCGCATTTTGTCTCCCACTCTTTCAGAGCTTTTCCGCATCCCAACTGTGGGTGTAGTATTATCTTCTCCGACGATATCCCATAAGTTTGACCTATAAGATAGATATCTTCCATACGGGTACTCCAGTTCCCGTAATTGTTGGTATTTAGCTTCTGCAAATGCTATTAGCAACTCCAAAAAAATCCAGTCATAAGGTACTGGTGTTCCCTGATACCTAACCGATGCACAACGGTCCTTGACCAAGTCAAGATCACAATCCTTGCTTGTGCAATTCTTGCTTCAACAACAGTCCTTGACTGTTAATCCAGCAGAGTAAAGGATAACTCTACACTTGTAATATGAACACCACAAAATTCACGGCTACAAAACTACCCACCACAAGCCAGGCTCTGATAACACTTGTTGGGATTATGCTATGATACACCTTGTTGATAATTAGCGCGATAAACTCCAAGATTGATTATAATTTATCACAAACCAAAATAATAACGGGAAAGACAACCAAAATAATACTAACAACAAAACAACCATGATAAATATAATTGTATTAATAAGAAGCAAACACTCACAAAGCTTAAGGAAATGATTACTTACTTGGTTTTTGCTTGGTGTTTGCTTGGTTCTTACAAATGAGAGGAGGGGAGGGGTGGTATTTATAGGCATTAGTTAGGTAAGATATTTTCATTACATCTCATATGTAGAGAATTGTGGAGTATTCTAGAATGTGGGCTTGGACCTTCAACTTTGGGCTTAAGGTTTCCCAAGTCTTGGCTTATTATAGTAGTCCATTTTGGTGGTGACTAAATTAATCGGTGATATTTTAATATTAATTTCATTCGGAAATCTTGCCGTTTCGATTTTTACAGTTTACTCGTTCCACTCTATTTCATATGCCACTTTTTATCGATTGTCTTTGAACGACAAGTCATTGAGTCGTTTAAAAGGCTTCGATTTTGTAGACTTTATGGATCTCCCTCAACATTTAAATTCATGAAAAAATGGCATATTGATATTATTTTCTCATCAGAAATTCATCCTCACCTTTTAAAAAAATGATTTTATAATGAGAGATCTAGATTGTATCTACAATTTTATTTTTCAAAATTAATTTCATTAGTGATTTTAATCTAAATTTAGATTATATTTACAAACCGGTTTAAATACATATTTTCTCGACTTTGGCAAGGATGGTACTCAAAGAAAGCACTCTAAATTTTGAATTTCTGATTTGAAGTTACAATCCATATCTGCATGTATCTTAATTTTGAAATTTATAGTAAACATATAAAAAATATAAATTTTAATTTTACAATTTAGATTGGATGTGACTCAATATTATTTCAAAGTTATGAATCAAAGTATTAAAAATTTATACTATTTAGTAATAACGTAAAGGAGGCTAACTTTACAAAATCCATATTGTTTTTGAAGTTAGGTATCTCCATCTTAGCCATCTGGGGTGAAGCTGCTTGGTAGAATATTAATTAATTTTTTTAATCATAAAAAAAAAATAAAAAAATAAAAAAAGAAGAAAGAAGCAAATTTGGATTGATATCTGAAAAAAAAATAAAAAAATAAAAAAAGAAGAAAGAAGCAAATTTGGATTGATATCTGAATGTCAAAAAACAACAATCAAGCTCGTTTCTTTCGCGTCTCTTTTTGCAAATCATTCAGATATCAAACGTTTCTTTCACGTCTCTTTTTGCAAACATAAGAATGATCCTCTTAGCACTGCTCAGAGCTTGATGAACCTGCAAACTATCCATTTTCACAACTATTTGATCATTCACATGGCGGTGCTTCAATCAACTTAGTAGCTTCCCTATACCCATCACTTCCGCCATTAAAGGGCTTGCAACTTGACCATCCTTCCACCACCAACCATAGCTGCCCAACCGTCTATCACAATCGAGCCTTGACCATTTAAGCTAAAGCTTCATTGGCAGACTATTAATTAATTTAATTAAAAAAAGGACCGATTGATCTTAAAAAGTAAAGAAAGGAGCAAACTTTTTGGGGTGATTTGAATTCTGAATATCAATTATGAAGTTCGGTTTCTTTCACGTTTCTTTATGCATACCATTTGAAGAAATCTTTTGGCAAATTCTCTTGGACATTCTTGTATACATAATCCTCGTTTTGAGAAATTGTTCCAAATAACAATTAAATTCTTAATCGGATTGCAGCTGATTATTGCCATTGTTAATTAGCGGTAGGCCCCAACTTTTC